TCTTCAGATGGCGCCGTCGTCCAACACCCACTGGAAGTTCCACCCGGCCGGCACCGCCTTCCCCTTCATCGATCTCTTCTTCTTCGCGGAGAACCAGGAGTTTGTGTGGGCCCTGACACCCTACACCCGCCACACCTTCCTGTTGCGCAAGGCCGACGTGTTCCCACTGACCACTGGTCGGTTTGAGGGCCTCCAGGTGCCGGTGCCACGCCGCACAGACAAGATCCTGAAGGCGTTGTACCACTTCAGTCGCTGCGAGTCCCGGAGCTCCAACCACAAGACGGGAGAATCTTCCACAGTGGTGGCAGTCCCTTGTACAGACTTGACCTACATGTTTGACATGTACAACCTTGACCCTTGACGCCTGGAATTACCTTGACCTTTGAGGCCTCGAGTTACCTTGACCTTTGAGGTCTGGAATAACATTGACCCTTGACGCCTGGAATTATGTGGGGGGTTTTAGTTTCAGTAAGGTTTTACGGCGCTGGCAAATTCCCAAGGTCATATGAGCGCCAAGGGGAGGATGTCAACAGAGAAGTCCAAACGGGGAATCAGGGTTACTCTGCTCTCCTCTCTCGCTTCAACAGCACAAAGTCTGCTTCGACTATATAGGCACCCAGGAAATACCGGGTTATAAGAGAGTAATAAATATACAAAAGAAGTAGTAGAGGAAAAAAGACGAGATTAAGGATGAGGAAAGAAAAAGCTGCAGTTCCCCGTTTGCAGTTCAGGCACAGTTATGAGCATGACATTGATGAATCAGCCCATTTACAACTCTACTGTGCATAAGAACATGTTCATATCCCCCCTTTGGGAATGGCCTAAAGACAAGTTCAGTCAGTAGCACCTCCCTGGGGGGTTGGAGTTATGTTTGACGTACATGACAATGTACATCATGTACGCCTTTGTTTTACTCTCTCAAAATGTTAGTGAATAGAAGTGAAGATATACATTCAACATACTATGTTATTATTATGATAATGATAAGGATATAGATAATAATGTATATCTGTCAGCGTCTGATAATGAGCAATGTACGAATTTTGAGTCTGAAGTAACCTTCTACTATACCAGCACTGTACTATCACTCAAAACCAGGGGCAGAGATTTGTTTCAGGTATATATACACCTTATACTTATAGAGGCAGAATCCTTCCAGATTTGTACTTGAAATGATTTTTCGTCATTCCATATATAATATTATGTCAGTGTTAGATTTGTGCTGAAACTGTAACTGCTTGGACATTATACAACCAAGACCCAACCAGATTTGTCACTGAAAGATAGCCGACACACATGTATACATGTATATACAATATATCTCTCCATCGTGACTTTGTTTTGTTGAACCCTACTGATCTTTTTTAGCATTGAAATACTCGCACCAACAAATCATAAAATCATTTTGTTTTACACGTATGTATATTATTATAATCTAAACTACATGTAAGTTTTACACATCTTTGATACAAAGCTATCTCAACCCGACGTTGTGATTGACACACAAATGTACAAATACTAAACTCAGGTGCCAGTAGCCTCCCTTGGTAGTTTTTTTTGTTTTTGGGGGTTTTTTTGTTTCTCGGCTGGCACCTTTTGCCACTTGAGCTGCTTACCATTTGCAACTTCTTGTGGCACCCACCAACCACCCACTATGGCTTCTTCTGGATTAGGAGTGCCCCAGAACGGCAGACCAGTCGCTACTTCAGAATTACAAAGTTCTATTTAACATTTTTTGCCGTCTTGAGTTACTAAGACCATGAGGCCAGAGACCAAACGTTCTATCTCCTCTGTCAATATGGCAGGGTTATTCGGAGTCTTTATCAAGATACTCAAACAATTGCTTTCGAAAAAAGCTTGACATGGATGAAACTCCAAATCTTTGACGTCTAATTTCTCCAAACTAGGTACTGAGCAGATAGAACTTTGTTATTCTGAGATAGAATATAGCGCAGTGTTGGGACTCGCAATTCAAAAAAAAAAGTTATGAATGAGTTGGATTCCGCCTCTGTGAGATTGGCCGTTGCGTCCTTAACCCTATCCGTACGTCGTGTTGAACTGTCGTATCCATACGACGTGGGGAACTCTGTACCACCACTTTCCAAAGAGGAAATTTACTCGTTAATCCGATCCGTATGCTTTGCATAGAAGCCTGTCAAAATGATTTTTTTGAGAAATGCTGAAAGTTTCAAAGAGATCTTCGCTCTAGTATTATTCTAAAATGTGAAAAAATACAACCCCGAGGGTACAAGGATAGGGTTAAGAAAAGTATTTAGGGCACCGCTGGTAGATCCTTCTTCTTGTCTTTCCCTCTGTTATTTCTGTCTGTCTGTCTTACCCCAGCACTAAAAGATAATAATTTTTTTAATGTGCTCTTTTTGCTCAATCTCCCCCCTCCCCC